TGATGAGACTAAAATTCAAAGGAATTTATTTTTAACCGACTTCGAAAAAGGACGAGGTTCTCAATTCGACTATTTTTTTGCGTGTATGTTACGCGATTACTCCGGCATTTGTGAATCGATTTTGAAAGATTCTTTTTTTTTGTTCGAAAAAGGGTACCCGGTATTGGTCCCATTTGAAGATAATATTCCACCTTTACGGGTGGCACACTAAGGGATGAATCCGGTTTCACGCACTTTCCGTTAACGGATTTCAATAAAACATGGCAATTAAATGTAATTTTACCAACTTTGAGGTCGATTTTTTTATGCAAAAGTATTTCTTTTTCTTTCTTCTATACAAAAGTATTTCTTCCTCTATTTTCTGCAGAAGTAAAGCAAGCAAATGATTACGAAAAATGTTTAATTATAGCATAAATTAATGATGAGGGTCTCTGTAGTCAGTCTTTACATGAATTAATTTATAAGTAGTTAAAATAAACTATAAATTCCATTTACGTTACAATACATTATGCTTTTGTTTTGGGTTTCTTATTTGTCACCTTTTTATGCTAATGGCTCCATAACAAATGGTAAATAAACAAGTAATAATTATATAAAGCGAAGCTTATCCGTCAGTTAAATTCTAATGAAGACATAGGTAAAAAAAACTCGTAAGTTGGCAAGCTTGGTGGTTGGAGTTGGATAATTATTAGCTACGATGTTGTTCAATATTCTCGTAATTAATAAAACGTGCGCAAGCATGTTGTTATTTTATGTTGTTGAGCATGTATGGTTTTTACAAATAGAGAAACATGGAATTCGGCTCCGACGCGACGTGGCGTAACATAGTGGTCCAAAATCCTGACAGATGTGACATTTCCAGTGAAGCTTAGAAGTTATCGTGTTTTATAATTTGAATATACCTTACTTATAACAGTTACTTAATCATTGTCACGTCATTTTAGTTACATTTTTGTTGATTTTTTTATACAAAGATAAGTGCGTATTTGACCTTCATCTCACCTGATAGAAAATGACGATGTAGCTGCACACCTAAGTGATGCATATGTACTCTCGCCTTGAAAAGCCCAAGTTATAGCTTTCTGGGAATAAGTCCGCAGCAGGGAATTTTACTCCTTAGCCGGTCGCCATGTAATTTTGGAAGTGTAGCGCTTCCTGCGAATCCTTGGCATATCCACAACATAGGGGTGGAACCCCAGCATATGTCTATTCCCCCGATGACGGAAAGGTGAAGGTGGAATTAAATCATGCAATTCCATCGCACACTCTCCGTGATATACAAACGTGTGGAACATAAGTTCCCAAATTTTGTTTCTCACAGCCCATTTAGGCAAAATAAAAAATGATATGATAATGATATGATGTCGCTACAGTGACAAACAAGCATTGTTTGCGACATCATAGTTTCCCAAAGTGGTCCCTACCCCCAAGTGGGCGCTGAAGAGTTCTAGGGCGGTAGGAGCCTCGAAAGCATTTGAAAACAAAACCTGAATTATCTATTATATATGTATAGTAATATACCCATTCCTTTACGATTTTTTTGTGTCGATTGAAAAAATACGTGTTTTCTATTATTTTTTGTGGCGTTGGACGTTAAAATTTTTTTATCTTGCCTAAATGGGCCAAAGAGTTTTGGAACTTATGCTTTACATCAGTGTAGATAATTTTGTTAATATTAATGCGATGATACACTTGTAGCTGACTCGGCAGTTTAGTTGTATAAAGGAACTGAACTATAAAGGTCTGTAGTTTCGTAGTGAACTACCGGAACTTTACCAAGTTCCACGGTCAATCAATCCTATAGCCGACAAACTAAAACTAAGGTATAGGTAAAAAAAAAAAATTAAAAAAATGAATTCTATCGACACGTTGAAGTCTTTTGTATTATTAATAACAGTATTATTTATTAGATAACTTTATAGTGATTGACTATAAGCTCTAAACTGCAAACTATAGTTATTACTTATGCAAGGCTGCAAAGTTGTTGTTAGACGCTAGCATTGAAACCTGAGCAAGTGAAGGAATCTATTTTTGAATGTCAGCTGCCTTCGCTTGCTCGGTTTCAATACAAGCACTAGCGTCAAACAACAACTTTGCAGCCTTGCATAACAAATAACTATATTTACATCTAAATAGGTTCACGAAATCTTTCAGTCAAATATCACACAATTTTATATATTCTACAAGTTAAGTACCAAACAACTTAACTGTAGTACAAAAAATATTTTTAAATTATATATCTACAACTATATATTCTAAAGAATTGTAATTTTTAACAAAAACAATTTAACACTAAAATTAACGAGAAAATTGGCAGATTATAGTCTGTGTGCTGTTTTTGTCCTTAAGATAGGAGTCCGCATAATAGGTAGGGTAAACTGGGTACAGTTGAAACAGTTTTTGTGGGTACGGTTGAAACAACATATTTATTTAATTTTCTTGTTTTCTAGATTTCGAAAGAAAGACTTCGAGGGCGCAAGTCAACGTATCGAAGTATAAAGACCCCTACGAGGAAATAAAGGCACGAGTTTCGTTGCTTGTTGCAGAGAAGCATGGAGTGAACTACTGTTCGCTCCTAAGATATGTAAAAGCGAGATGCATCTAGCATCTGGCGTCAGATAGACCAAATTCCGAAAATACAACAGACACAGAGACTCTTCCTATAACGAATACTGGCATATCTGATGATAAAACTACTCCACTATCGCCTTCTCTCTTAATTAATAATAATAATAATTAATTAATTAATAAACCACGGATAGAGACGGTAGCTCAACAACAAGCTATCAATATTTAGCAGTCCTGAGAACTGAACAGGAAAACTTTATTTGTTCGGAAGTTTCCGGACAAAATAAAGTTTGAATACACCACCCAGACGTCAACGCAGCAGTATACATCAAACTTCGCCTAAACCCTTCTGGTACTGATTTTGTAACAAACAATTCCTTCTGGTACTGATTTTGTATTTACGCCGAAAGCTATACGACCATTACCGAAAGCTCCCCGAAAAAAAGCAAACAGTAGGTGGAAAACCAGAAAGTCTACAATTTACGCTGATAATCCAGAGAAAGAAGAGATATGAAAGGACATATGAAAGAGACAGAGACAGAGTGACAGAGTCATGAAAACAATTGAAAGGGACGCAAGCAAAGCAAATTAAGAAAAGATTGATGGAGAAAAAGTAATAGAAATACCAAAAAGGAGAAAAACACTAATACACAACAGTAATGGAATCCCCAGAAGAGGAGTGGTACTATCTAGTTGTTTGTTTCCGTTTTCAAAGAGCAACCCGGAGAAAAATTGATACAATGCACGAACTGTAAACTGTCAAAGACGACTGATTACGAATCTTTTAAGTTGAGTGCCCAGAAAAGGCTGACTAAAATGTAGTTAATTTAATAGTATTTGTAATACATTGGAGACGGTCAAACGGCGCTATAATAATTAATAAACGTGGTATAAAATTATACTTAGTATTATTTGCTCGCGTTTCAACTGACCCCACTCACTGGTTGAAACAAATTGACCTTTCTGTTTAAATTTGATCTTGTACTAAAAATAACACACCGGGTGCTAAAATATCACTGTCCAGTGATAGTTAGAAACATGCTCCTGTATTTAATATAACTTCATCAACGATCGGCTCATAAACGGCAATACTACGGACGATACAAGCGAAATTGTTTCAATCGTACCCAGTGGACCCTACTCACCGCTCAGCGTGATAAATGCATTTGAAATACTTACAAACAGAGCTTAAAATTTCTAAATGCAAATTAAATATTTTGAATATACGAAAAACTAATTGTGTATCCGATTCATTTTGTACGTTACGCACAATACTGTTCAGTTTGCTTAAAAGCACCACTTGATTTACAGGACGATGTGTGTGTCGCAAAACCTAACGCAATGAAGAGCTTTTGTTGACATTTATATCACTGGTATATTTTTTAAATACAATTCCATAATATCTCTTGATGTATCCTTCGTTATCTAAAGCTGAGCATTCACAGTATATCAGAGAGGAACGCACTCAAACAGTAGAGCGAGAACAAAATATTTCTTTTGCATTATTCAACATAACAGGTTTCATATGTGGATATAAAAACCCGCTTTTTAAAGTCTGCCCTACATTTTCTGACGTGTTAACGTAAAAAGAACTATTTATCTTATATTAAACAATACTTGGAAGGTAAATTTGTAACTCACAGTTAAGTGAGTCTTGGTGAGATTGTACACTTGGAAAAACCTCATAAATCAGCAATCCTATTGTATCACCATTATCAGTGGCATAAAAATAAGGACTGGCCACATAATTTATTGTTCTTTGTCCATTCTTTTGAGGGAATCTATGGTAAGATTGAATTTCTAGGACACCATAAATAGTAGAAAATTACTCAAAATTGATTAATCTTTGATGTATTAAGTAAAAAATGTTGTCAAGGAATTATTACGCCACCGGTTCTCTCATACAATATGTCAGAACATGTAGAGTTGGCTTCAATCCTTCTGTCAAGACTAGTTTAGAATTAAAAGCCGTCAATGCTCCCGATACGGCGCCAGTCCGTAACCGGCACGAGATCGCCATTCTTTTCGCGTGTCGCGGCGATTATTGCCGCGAAACCACTTGAAGAGCTACGTTCTGTCGTACCATGATCTCTCGCTTGCAAAGCTTGTATTATCACCTGTAAGAAAAACGATAAGTATCTATTAAGAACATATAATATCTATAATAGTTTATCCGGAATATAAGGCTTTATAAAAGAAATGGGTACCTTTCCAGATATATCTTCTCCTCGCGATGAAAACTAAATTTTCCGAACTCAAGGGCTCAAAAGGTGAAATTGGAACTCGCAGTACGAACCAATTGTTACAATTACAGCATAAATTATAAATGTTACAATTACGCAAATAAAATAGCTGCATAAAACATTTAAAATTAAAAAGACGTTTCTTATATCAACTTGGTTAAAATTACAAGATATTTCTCTAAGTCTAAAATAGTCGTTTTTAGTCAATAGTATATCTACAATATTGTATGTATGTTGTAGGCAGGCGGTAGATAACCTATTGTTGCGGAGTTCCCTGCGTATTGTGTTGTTCTCATTGTCATTCATAGAAACTAGGCATTTCCAATTGCACTGTAGTACATTATGATTCAGTCGTATGAGAATTAATACCCTTGTGAAATACTAAGCTAAGCAATTTCCTGGAATTCTCCACTGTATTTCGATTTCATAGGGTTTTGCGATGAAACGAAACTATTGTTTCGGATCTAAATCGCGTATATTTGTTTTTTCAAGCAAACCAACGTTTTGGGGCATTTACAGGTTCCAAAGTCAAGGCAGACAGGACAAACACAGTCAGTCGTGACCATGGCACCCGTAAAGGGCCCGGAACGTTGGATTGTTTGAAAAAAACAAATATATATACGCAATTTAGACCAGAAAATATAGTTTAATTTCCAATCTCCACTATACTGCGAAATGTTGACTTTCCAAAACTGTTTCCTTAGTATCATTATACATGGATAATTTTCAGGTATTTTTTGCACTCAAGTTTGGTGACAATTTCTTTTTATTTAAATATTTATAGAATATCATCATGAAGTATTATTTAATATTCGAGTGTGGTAACCTGAAGTATTCTTTAATATTTCAGGATCATATATTCGAGTAATTTAATATTAAAATTGTCACCAAAATTGAGTACAAAAAACTTGCCAGAAAATATGAAATGTTTCGATAGGGTGATGGCATGAATGATCAGCATTTTAAGGGAAGTGTGTTTTTATATTTGAATTATTTTTTGTGTTTTTAAACATATCAATAGTGATTAATTTACTTGACAGATATAATCCTCAAAAAAGATTATGTTGTAGTATGTTTCATAAAAAAGCTATTACAATTCTTATTAAAAGAAACCTAAACTAGAATTCTCTAAATTTCCAAAAAATAACACCAAAAGTCAGCTAATTAACTAAACAATAATCGACAATCGACACTCAGTAATAATGAACACCCAGTATATTAAATTGATCTTACCAATAAAAAACGTGTTACTATGATAGAAAATGTCATAAATCTTAATAAAAAAAAAATTAAAAAATTTGTCGAACGCACCAGTGGGTGCGTGTCGGTCACTGGTGCCACCATCCTAATTCTGTATGAGATTTCGATAGTTTATATTATTATAATTATCGCAAGTCACGTTAAGTTTTATTAAATATTTCTTTTACCGGATCGAAATCAGCTTCGTGTTCGACTTCCATCGGTATCAGTTGATGATGAATGCGTGGCCTCTGCACTGCGTCTCTTAACTCGACGCCTTCCACCATTACATTAATAATATTCTGTAAAAATAAGAAAACAAATAAAATATTTTTAAGTTTTATTGAATCTCAGGATAATGATAATAATAATAATAATAATAATAATAATAATAATAATAATAATAATAACGCACACACTCAACATAACACCGTACTAAGAAACCCTGGGTCGCGGGTGCCATGGACAGCACACACATAAGCAACCACAAATTACACCCAAACTCACGAGATAAATAAATGTAGGCCGTACAAATATTTATCTCGGCCCGGGAATCGAACCTGGGAACTCTGCGTGGCAGTCAGGCAGCAGTGATAACCATTCAGCCACTGAGGCAGTTACAGTTAGGCACGATAATACTCAATTATTTTTTGAAAAATTACTCCACTGTAGGAGCGGTTACACATACACGCGATGCAAACGCGATGCAGTAGCGATGCAAACGCGATACAAATGCGATGCACGTTTTAAATTAATTAACTAATTTATTTTGTTTAATGTATTTATTAATTTCACTTTTAAATTTTCAATTAACAAAACAAAACACTGTGCAGAAACTAATACAGATTTTTCGTACGTAATGATTTAATATATACGATTGTACCGATGCAGTCGCGCGTTTGCATCGATGCAATTGCCCATAATAAATTGCAAGTGTAGTGATGCAATCTCGAGTTAAACGCGCGTTTGCATCGTTGCCAAAAGACTCCAATAGTTTGTTATAATTATATTAATACAAACGGATGGCGCTACGATAAAAAAAGTCGTTAAAAACCATGAACAAAGATCTGCAACAAGCACATAGAAAATTTGTAAGGTTTGCTGGTTCGTTCCGTGATTGCTGGAAGGCGCTGGTTCGAATCCAGCCGGATGGAAGGAATTTTTCTTAGAGCTCGATCTTTGCATTATTAATTACAAGTAAAATATGTTTAAATTTTATGTTATAAAGTATTTGTAGAAGAACACAATATTATTGTCTGACTGATGTACAATCAAGAGCACATCAAGCTTGACACTTTGGACTTTGGACCGTTTTTATCGTAAGCGGCGTTGAGTTAGATTTTGGTGTTAAGTGTCAAGTTTCTCGTGCTCTTGACCCTGTACATTCAAATACAATAATGTTTGTACCAACATTATAAACGAAAATTTACGAAGGACATTTCGATTTGGTCAATGATCTTAGGTATATACAAAAGAAGGCAAATGTGGTACTACTAACGGCGCGACAGACTTTATTCGTCGATCAGTATGAACGTAACATACGAGTATCTTGGGTTGGGTATAAGATCATTGAATTTGGTGAACAACTTTTGAAACACATGTTGAATTACCCCAAAAATATCTTGATTTTTAAATCTTAAAATTAAGTAGTAAAACTCAATAATTAAGTAATAACAAAATCTCACCACAGCTACTTGTGTTGTAATCCTAGTGCCACCGGCTGCGCCGACCACCAATTCCAATTTTCCGTCTTTGTCAAGAATAATGCTCGGAACCATGGAGCTAAGAGGTTGTAAACCTGGAGCCAACATGTTCGCGGGAGAGGGTGGCATGCCGTAAGAAGATTCTCGGTTAGGTATGGAAAAGTCATCCATTTCATTGTTTAGGATGAACCCTAAACGTGTTCGCCTCTGGGAACCCCATCTGGAAATAATAACATTATATATATATATATATATATATATATATATATATGTATGTATATATACATCTATATATATTTGTACTTTGGATCGTTTTTATCGTAAGCGGCATAGAGTTGGATTTAAATCTTAAGTGTCAAGCTTGAAATGCTCTTAACCCTGTACGTCTCCGTATATTCCAAAAATATTCTATATTTATTGTAAAAAAGATAATATCTCTAACAAAGGAATCAAATTTCATCGGTAATTAAATGTTAAATATGCAATTTTCTAATTTTCGTCCATTATAGCAAAACTGAAGTTAACTGGTCGATTTGATGTGAAACAATTGACAACATCCATTGACGACACGCGTCAATTGTTTCGAGTTCGGGTTGACCAATCGTAGCGCAGTTGTCACAGTATTATATGGCAGAATTGTTATCAAACAAACTAAATGACATTGCGTCTCTATTTCTAGCTGTGACTGCGACTACCGGACGGACGGCATAGGAAATTGCATTGCAATCTCACAGAGAACAGAACGAAGAAACTGGTGAAGCAGAGAACGTAACCATATCCACACGCGGTAGTTAGTACTTATGTCGAAATATCAGGTTTTACCCATGAACTTGCCGTTTTATATAGGAAAAAAATAATTAAAATTGACTTGTTTCAAAATGGTTGCCCAAACCAGTGGTCTTCAAAACGCGGTTCGCGAGCCCACATGCGATTCTTTGGACTCTTGACTGTGGCTCTTCCACAAAATACCATACTGATGATATAAGACAATTGTGGAACGTACCTGGCCCTGTACTCCCGTTCTCGTCAAATAAGTAATAAATACTTGATCAAATTATAAGCGTTCATTCTCATCATGTGTATTGTTAATTTGATCAAGTATTACTTATTTAACAGTAAGAACGTACTACGTCCGATTCGTATCAGTTTCCTTTATTTTTTCTATCCTCTAAGTTCAGTTCCGAATGCAAAAGTCGTCACAGAGATCACTTTATCTGTAGGTGTTTAAGCGATATTCCTATTTTTTCGGATTCGTATCGGACTTAGTGCACAAGCGACATCCGAAGTGGGTCCGAGTGTTCTAGAATTGTATAGTCTCTGATTCAGAACAAATACGAATGCGCGAACGCGCTAATTGTTTCGGACCGATGTTGGACAGAGAACGAAAGTAGACACTCTGAATCAGGGGGTCTACTCTCGTTCTATACGTAATGGCTCGGACGGATGTCAGACGGAGAATAAGAGTAGACCCCCTGATTGAGGACGTCTTTAGCAAAAGCCAATTAAGCAAATTAAGTTTAAAAAAATTAACTCTCAAATGGATTCCAGTCGCTCTAGGTATTGTTGATATTTGACTCTGTCGACTATTGAGTTTGCTGACCACTGGCCTAAACTATTTACACATTATTACCATTTAATGGGCAGTTTGTTGATGCTCCTCCCGTAAAAAGCAACTGTATGAGAATCGATGAAATCTTTATAGGAGCTCTTTACGGCGCTTCGGAATAGTAGTTTACCTTGCAAAAGTTGTCCAAACTCCGAAAAAAGAAAGAATCTGTCGAGGCAAGGTATGTGGAGCGTGGCGGGAAAGAAAATGAGAATTTGGAAAACAACATGTCTCGCAAGCTATTTTGTACGATGTGATTGCGCACGTACATGTAGTTAATAGTGCTGGTAGCAGAGACAATGCTGCCGTCCGGAGCGACCACCACGACGTGAGCTGTACCGTGGTCATCTGCTGGCTCGAACAGGGCCCCATAGTGTTTCCAATCGTTGATCGTGTGCTCGTCGTTTATCCTCTTTCGGTATGCTCTTGCCCAATTCGCATCAGATAGGTTTTGCTGGAGCTGAAATTAGTAATAAAAATAATTTTCAATCAGAATACTTATTGTAGTATGATTTCGGTTAATTTTTGTTAAAAGAAGACGAAGTAGATGTAAAACATAATGGCTCAAAAACGAAAGACGTTTTATATAAGGTTTGCCACCACAAATTCTTCCTTATATGTTTTAAATTTAATTTTTATTTTTAGTTTCGAATTTGAAATAGAGATTTGAAGTAGAGAATGTGAAACTGTAAATATTGAAAAAGCATGCACGTCTCTTCAACGTATTTAGATTTTACAGACTACTTAGATACACTTTTTACTAAGAACGTAAATCTAACAATATATTTAGAGTAGACTCTGTAAATATGGAATAGTAACATAATATGGACACTACAAATATTTCGAAATTTATCTTATTAATTAACCTACTTCAAAAAAAGGAGGAGGTGGTCAATTCGACTGTATATTTTTTCTTTTTTTTCGTATGTATATTACGCGGTAACTCCAGCATTTGTGAACCGATTTTGATGATTCTGTTTTTATTGGGAAGAGAGCAACTCGGTAGTGGTCCCATTTAAATTTGAAGAAAATATTTCACCTCTCAAGGGTGGCAAACTAGGGGATGAATGAAACGATTGTATTAAAACTTGGCAAATAGATGTAATTCCACAAAGTTTTGAGGTCGGGTTTTTAATATTTCGATTATCTTTTCAGTAAGACCTAAATTTGGCTTATTTTATAAAAACTAAGATATCGATAGAGAGCAAATTCTCTTCTATTTCTTCTCTCTCTTCTACTTTGTGTCATTTTTATTATTGGATGTGATGAAATTATCTAGTGAGTTTTTTTAATAAATAAATAAGCACACACTCAACATAGCCCCGCACTAGGGAAACCCTGTGTCGCGGGTGCCATGGACACACACATAGACAACCACAAATTACACTCAAACTCACGAAAGAAATAAATGTAAGCCATACAAACATTTCTCCCGGCCCGGGAATCGAACCTGGGACCTCTGCGTGGCAGTCCGGCATGGTAACCGTTCGGCCACGGAGGCAGTTAATAATAAAGATAGTTTCGGAATTGACGTTAATTACATTTTTACAACTGTACAATTTTGTGTTTTATTTAAAGAAACTGATATGGTAGTCCATATATAAGAGAATTTACTCTAATAGCTAATTCTGACAAAGAAACGTGATTACTTGACTGATGTTGTACGGCAGGTTCAATCGTGAAGCATCCCCTAGGCCGGTTCTCTTGCCGTATGCGAACTTGAATGTTTCTACGACTCGGTGCCAGTAGAGAGCGGATCCGGCGGGTACGCCGGACCCTTTGCCGATCCAACCTTGGATTACGTTCAGGATGAATGCTAGAACGGATCCGGAACCCGGGAGCGGCGATGTGTATAGCGTTTTGCCTTCGCCTAATGGCACGGCTATTGGTTCTTGCCATTCTACTCTGAAAGAGTAAGCAGATGCAATGTTGGTTCACGTTTCACTTTCATTGGTATTACCGTACACCGGTGGGTCGAATCTATAAAGTTTAGGTGGAGGAGTAGGCTCTCATGCATTAAGAGACATTCGATGAAATATGTCCATATGTAACATTCTAGTCGATCAATCAATATGAAATATCGAATGTGATATAGTCATACGACATAATAATAGTGATAAAACAATGAAGATCTAACCGATATAAAAAGTACCTATGCGTCTTATCAATGACGATAACAATGTATTTATGCTTGACTAGGTATATTAAGTGTAACACGAAGAATACTATTACCTATATTGTGTAATAATAATAATAAGGCGGTCAAAATTCAAAGTTTATCTTTTAGCCCATGGTAGAGGCGAGTGTAAAACAAATATGTATAATAATAATATGTGACAGACAACCATAGCAATTACCTGGTCTCAAACTAAGGAATTCCCTGTACTATGAGTACCAGTGCTACATAATGCACTCTGGGGCACTTCCCAGAAGACCCATCATCATCATATCAGCCGGAAGACGTCCACTGCTGAACATAGGCTTCCCCCAAAGATTGCCAGAAGACCCATATCAGAACCAATATTGAAAAGTTCATTTCCCAAATTGTTCCTACCGGGAATCGAACCCAGGACCTCCGCATCCTGTGCTCACAATGTAAACCGTTAGGCCACGGAGGATGTCAACGTGTGCTTACTTGTAGTTCCTCAGATCGTCTTCTGTGATGATGCCGCCGAAGCGTTGAATGTCCCTCACGAGTGCCGCCGTCAGTGATCCGTTGTGTATCTCCTCCGGGCCACCCTCGGCGATGATGTCCAGGGTTCGGGCCAATGCCGGCTCGACTATCATGTCGCCTTCCTGCCAAACTTTCCCGGTCACCGGGTTCACGTATAGTTCCCTGATAAAACAGTTATTAACTCTACAAATCCTCCTGACGAGAGGTGTTTGTTATAAGATATATAACTTAAAAGTCGTAAGTAGGTAATAGCGTTTATGAAGTCATTAGATCAAATTTAGATTGGACATACTCAAAGCCACAGATGTCTGCCTCCGTGGCCGAACAGTTACCATGCCATACTGCCACGCGGAGGTCCCAAGTTCGATTCCCGTACCGGGAGAAATATTTGTATGGCCTACATTTATTTCTCTCGTGAGTTTGGGTGTAATTTGTGGTTGTCTATATGTGTGTCCATGGCACCCGCGACACAGGGTTTCCATAGTGCGGGGCTATGCTGAGTGTGTGCGTTATTATTATTATGTGGAATTGTTCAGGTAACTATATATGCTCTCTTTCGCTTGGAACGCGTTATTTATTTTAGTAGCAATAGAACTAGCTCCTTGTGAAAGAGTTCGTCCAGGGAGTATTGTTACCTTACCTATTTCTGCCGGCAAGCAGTAATGTGAGCATTACTGAGTTCCGGTTTAGAAGGGTGCTGGTGAAATTACAGGCACATGGGACTTGTCAACTTATGTTTCGGGGTGACGGGCTTAGTGGCAGTGCCCATAAGATCTTTGCGATTTCAAGCTCAGAATTGCATTGCAACTGTTATGGATAGGCGTGTCGCTTACCACCAGGCGCACGACTTGTTTGTCCTGTCACTTGGTATTATAAAAAAAATATATAAAATAATCTCACCTCATCGATGGCTCTTGAATTATCTGGTTGCTGTACGTGTTCAGTGCTCGCGACATGTACCAACTGACCCGGTGGCCTCGTCGGCACAATTCCGCGGTAGGGCGCACTAACTCTCGCCATGGCAGACGTCCATACTCCTTGTACAGCGCGCCATATCCCCGTAGCTCCCCAGGGACGGCGACGGCTAGCCCCCCGACTGTGGATGAGGCGTTCGCAAACATGTTCTCGTGAGTGGCGGCTGGAGCTCTCTCGCGCGCGTTGAGTACGCGAATGCGTCCGCTGGGTGCGTCGTAGATTGTGGCCAGAAACCCGCCGCCGAGACCCATGCATTGTGCGCATCCGATTCCTTCACACAGTAACGTCGCGATCGCTGCATCGACAGCAGAGCCGTTCTTCTCTAGGATCGCACTGTATAACAAATCAACACTTTATTCATCCGACGTAATTTAAATATTTGAATCGACTACCCGTATCATTCAAAACAAGGTTTTATGTAAACAAATCGTATTGTGCAAGATTACATTAGAGCGGGTAATTGTGTGACTGCAGCGATTCAGTCGCGATGCAATATCGATGCAGTCGTTAATCGGTGCCTTTACACGTGTGACTTAAGCAGCGAGCAGCGATACAATCGCGATGCAAACGCGGTGCACTTTTTTAATTACTTAACATAAGCGACTGCTTCGCGCGTTTGAATCCGATTATTCCTACTTCGATGCAACTGCCTATAAATCCCAAGTGTCGCGATGCAGTCACGCGTTTCAGAAACTCGCATTATATCGCTGCTAAGGCGATTAACACACTGCACCGCGCTACGACGGTGCGCGTGACGCGGAATCACGCGCGCGGGCGCGTGTTTTCCATACAAACTGAGGTACTTCAGTACAACGTTAAAAAACGCAGTGCATTGTGTTAGTCGCCTAAAAGTCGCTGTGTGTAACCGCTCTTAAGCAGACTACAATGCAACAACTGCATTCATTTCTCATGCGATCATTCAATATAATGGTGTACAATTGCGTGACTATAACAATTACAATGCTTATATTTTCAGGTACCTATATTCATCTACTACATTACAGCGTTTTCAGTAGTTTTGTTGTTAGCAGGTAAAATACGTCAAATGAAATGTTTTGGATCTCATATTTCTTCATTACATTACAAAATACAATTTATATCGTAATCTGACATTAAAAATTGACCTTGGAAATAGAAAATTTTTGTCTTATATTAGACATCTAATGTCATCATGAACAGCAGAACATTTTATATACAATATTTAAGTAGATACATTTTCTACGCATCGCGTAGCCTTGGGACACCCTGTATATACAAACCATAAAGACAGATTCACGAGTGACTAAATTGTATTTACAATACAATATAAATATTCTTTATTACATTCAAGAACAAGCTCTTGAACAAACATAATCCAGCACAGGGTATGGTTGTGTGTGTGTATATGTCGTGTGTTTAATTAAATTTGCAGTCGAGTAGCATTAGCAAATATGTTAAATAGGCACGAACATATTGTCTTGTTTTTGTGTGTTAAATTTGAAAGGGCACTGCAAGGCAAGAGAGAGAGAGAGAGAGGGAGAGATCAAAAATCTTTATTTCATAGGTAAGTATTATTACACTTGAAATCGTCACGTTGGTTAAACTCTATCGCTCTTTCGTAAAGCAGATTCCCCTGAGAAGAATGAGCAAGAAACTCTAGTGGTTGCTCTTTGTAAATAACATTTGTACACATTCAACATTTACAATATATTTTTTTGCTTTGAAACTTCAGAGATCGAGACTACCCCATGAGCTAAACGGGTTACTACCACGGATTTTTGTCATCCAAGTACGCAGAAGTTGTATAACAACCTTTAGTATAAAGTTAGTAGCAGTGGAGCTCCTTGTGAAAGAGTTCGTTCAGGAAAGTATTGCCACCTTACCTATTTCTGCCGCCAAGTAATAATGTCAACATTACTGCGTTCCTGTCTTGAAGGGTATGGTGAAATAACAGACCCAAGGGGCTTGTCAAATTATGTCTCAGTGTGACTGGTGCAGTGGCAGTGCCCATCAGATCCTTGCGGTTTAAAGCTCTGAGGGGCACTGCAACTGTTAGGGACAAGGCGTGTACCTTACCATCAGGCGCACGACTTGTTCGTCCCGTCACTTGATATTATAAAAAAAAGACTAGCGCGAAGAGGAAAGACGGGCCACCCGTCCTTAAATCATGAATGAATTTATTCATTACAATCGCATTACGTCGAATCTCCATGATAACTACTAGTAAGTGGAGTGGCTGAGTCGTGAAACTAAGGTGCTTTTTTTCCAGAACAAAAAAAAGACTTGTTAAATTTTCTACCGATATTTTCGAAGCATTTAGTGCATATCCGTTTGGTCAATAACAACATTTCACATTCAATTTAAAGTTAGTTCTAATTATCAATTCTTACGTCAACGGCTCTGAGTTGTTGAATGTTTTTTTAGTATTTATCTAATTCAATTTAATTTGGCTTCAAAGGGTAAGATGGGTTATGCCCCATCCCATAGTACCCCTTGGGTTACCCTATCTTATCCAAGTGACAGGAAAGGGGCCGGTTTTATCCCAGCTATGTTATATTTTTTTGGCTTGATAACTAAGAAATGGACAAACAACTAGGTTTTCCACAACAATCTTAACTTCCTCACCACCTAAAAAAAACAAAAAAGACGATAAAAAGTAGGAAGCTCGCGCAGGAAAATAAGCAAAAAAAAAATAAATGAGGGAATTACAAAAGTTGTGTTGTTAAAACCAGAAAATTTTCAGAAAAGAAAAAAGTATATCATAAGAGGAAAACAACGACATAATAGAGCGCAATAGTAATATTGAAAATATTCCTTGTCTGTATTATACCGTAATTTAAATACTAATCTATATACTTAATCTTCAAATGAAGATTGAGCTGTTTTTTTCTGCATACCGTAAATGGATTCTGCAGTTGAGCTGGGGCAGAAGTAGGTGACGATGCAACGTTTACATGCGAGTTTTGTCAGAAATTAATAAAGATGATGTACCTAGTCTAGTTTTTAATTCTTTTAATATGAATCACGCTACAAATGTTTTTAAAAAGACTCGCTACAAATGTTTTTAAAAAGACTAGACTGTGGAATACTGAGTGTCAAAAATGATTAATAAAATAAATAAGATTCTATAGATACAACAGTGTCAGCTTTATCGAGGTTCAAACGTTAAGCACTCCATCTGGCCCACTTTCCCCTTTGCAAGTAATAATGGTATTCATCAAGACTCGTGACGAGTTTTTTCTAACCGAAACCCAACCTTTATTTACCTATATAGGTATCTACACGATTACATTTCTAAGTTCGGAAAGGGGTCGTTTAACAATGACACTTTTTATACGTATATCTATTGTTACGTTGTTTATGCACTGTGATTTGGCGTTCAAAGAACAGTGACAATATTAATAATGTTTCTTATGATGTAACGCATTTGCACACATTATTAGTGGAAGTACTTACTGTCTGTTATGTATATATGGATTTTTCCTGCGCATGTGTGTACGTAGCCTTAGTATTAGGTAACTACCAAGATCACGTTGTGCTTAAATAGGCTGTAAAGATGTTCGTGCCGTGACTAGTATGACGGCGCAATTCATCTTTATATCGTGAGTAAAGCAAAAGAACCCTCTATGGAAATAATGTATATTTTAACACACATATATGACATCAAATTTGTATATTTATTCGTATATTAGTAAAAACTTGTGCTAATGGAACTTACCGTCCTACTGAGGCGCATTCGTAGCCATTAGCGGCGACAGCGGCGTGCGGGAAGCGCGGGTGGTCGTGGGCCCACGGTTGCAGCACCAGCACGGCCACCAACGCCCCCGTCAGCAGCGCCGCCAACACTGTGCTCACCAACAGACACCGCTTCGAACAGCAACTTCCAAATCATAACCAAACAAACACGGTCAGACACCACGCTGCTGCGTCTCACGCATCGTTGGACACTCTTGTTAACAGGCCTTATTACACTAGTAATTTTTTTTGCAATGTTTTCGTATAATTTCACTAATTTCGAAGCGATGAAAGGATAAATTTGTGACTATGAAATGATGTGATATTACGAAATGCCAAATGTGTCAAGGATAATTGTGACACGTGCTTGTCATAGGTTAATGGCTGATTTTGAAATAGTTTCGGCATGAAAATAGAATTTAGTATGTATGCCACCATACGTTGATATCAAAGGTCTTGTAACTTCGAGTATATAGATATGCCTCCAATGGCCCCACGTACTTACGTAGGTACCTGTACATAATGTACATATGTACATACATAATACATTTGAATGTATGTACGTTGGGCGTTTAGCGCTTTCCCCTTTTAGTTTTCTGGGCCTTAGGAGGGTAAAGTTAGTTGATATAATACAAAACCTTCTGATATGTCCTTTAAGTAGAACATCTATCAATGTGTTATTAAAAGAGTATTGTAAATGAGAAAATCAATACGCTTTTACATATTAACATCTGTAGAGTTATGTTTGATCACCAAATAATGTGAATAAATTATCGATTAATTGCGTAATATTACGACAAGAGGAAGTGTCTTGTCTTAAGACGTACCACAACTGGATTAATTTTTCTTTGTGTTAGATCCTTTATAACTATAACAAACCAGTGGCGCAATTTAGTAGCAGTAGAGCTCCTTGTGAAAGAGTTCGTCCAGTGATGTACTGCCACCTTATCTATTTCTGCCGCCAAGCAGTAATTACAGCATTGCTGTGTTCCGGTTTTGAAGAGTACGGGTGCTGGTGAAATTACTGGCACATGGGGCTTGTCAACTTATGTCTCAGGGTGACGGGCGCAGTGGCAGTGCCCCTCAGATCCATGCGATTTAAAGAGCTGAGTGGCATTGTTGGTGTCATCGTAAAATTATTGAATATAATGGTAGTAAAACTTAAAAAAACATCGTGATTTTCAATAAAAATCTTATCATCTACAATACTATAATAGTTAGCGTATAATAATAATAATAATAATAACACACACACCCAACATAGCCCCGCACTAAGAAAACCCTGT